CCCCCGGGGGGGGGGGGATCTTGGGGTAAAGAAATCCATAGATGGAGAGTTTCATGACAACTTTAATGAAAACTCTTTTTTTTTGTCAATGAAAATTTTTATTTTATAACCAAATATGGAAAATTTGGAGCACATCAAGATACAGACTCCAAATACTGGTTATATAACCCAGTCTTCACAGATTATAAACTCTCTATATACTCTTTTATGTGTTGAAGAGGACCATTTGCAATCACCTCTGGATCAGAAATTGTAGTAGTAACTGAAGTTCCCAAATAAGAATTAGTTAGAGCGGGTCTGAAGGTGTAAGTTACCATGCGATTTTTTCTGCTAACTTGCACCCACTCTTAGATTTTCATGGCGAGGAAGAAGAAGAGAAGTGAGAAGAAAATCTTTAATATAGGATTGAGAGCTTCTAACTCAAGTTTGATAGGCTCTGTGGATCAAATTGATACAAATTTGGCTGGAGATGATGAAGGATCTGATAACTATACTATGGGCTCGACAGGTCCAAAAAGGGAGAAGAAGAAGAAATCAATGGAGGAATTTCTCAGATCTACAGATTTCCTGGTTGATTCGCAACATCCTATGAGTTCTTCATAGATGACTGGAGTCCAAACTTGCTATTTAAGTAAATCTCTAAACTCTTGTGTAGGCGCTAGTAGCTCATCTAGGGCTTCTTGGGCAGATGAGATTGAGTTAGATGTTATCTCTTCTGATTTTTCTTTGATTCAAAATTTTACTTCCAATCCTTCAGGAGTTCTTAGCTCTGACTCAGTGAGAATCGATATATGATACGGACACTGTTTCCATTGATATCTGATTTGAGAAATTTTGTAGAGGCTAGATCTGATGATTTTTTAACTCTAATAAAGAAGCCAAAGAGGAAAATGCGTTTGTAAATCCTAAAGATCATGTGAATTCAAATCTGGAAAAAGAGCAGAATGTTAATGTTTAGGATAAACCTGTAAATGGTTAGGATAATAAAGAGATTTTGAAGAAAACAGGTACTGAATCTAGCAAATCATTTGTTAGCCTTTTTACTGATAATAGGAAATCGGGCAATGGATTATCTCTGAACTTGATGTCGTCTTCCCAATCCAATACAGTCTCATTTTCTGTTGATGAATGGAGGGAAGGAGAAGATTTATGGAGAAATACCTTAATTGGTCATGTCATAGGATTGAATGTCAAGTTTAAATCATTTGAATCCTATGTCAGCAAATTATGGGGTAAAATTTCTATTACGAAGGTCTCATTAATTAAAAAGGATTATTCCTATTTGATTTTCAAACTGAAAAATTGATGAGAGATGTTCTTGAGGCTGGACCTTGGTTTTTTGGGTGAAGACCTCTAATGTTAAAGCCATGGAGCATTGATTCAGATTTGGAGAAGTTGCAGGATTTTTTTATCCAATGTGGGTTTAGTTTCCAAATCTAAGGTTAAATCTATGGAGCTCAACTGGCATTAGCAATGTTTCTAGCCTTATTGGCAAACGTATTACAACTAATAAACTCACGGCTACTAGGCAAAGATTGAGCTATGCAAGAGTTTTGCTAGAAGTAAAATTAACATTGAAAGAGCCTTTACCTATTCATTTGACTATCCAAGGACCCGATGGAAAAAGCTATACACAGTCAGTATTATATGAATTCAAACCAAAATGATGTTCATTGTTTAGCATGATAGGTCATGATACTGAGCAGTGTAGGAAGAATAAAACTAAAAAGATGTGGGTTCCTATCAATAGGCAGGCTGAGAAAGTTGCACAGGAAAATGTTGAAAATGCTGGTAATTTTGGGCTTGGTAAGGAGTCTTTAGTTCAGGAAGGGACTAAAGCATGTTCTAATGCTAGTTCTAATGGGTAGGATGTAAAATTAACTTCGGGTCAGAGAGCACATACTGTTGAGAAACATGCATAGTCTAAAAAACATGCACATATTGAAATTCAGCCTTCTTAGTAGGAAACTAGGATCTGGGAGAAAAATTCAGGTCAGGGGGCGTTTTCGACTGGTCTATCAAATCTACAACATGCACATCTTCAGCAAATTGACTTCTCAACTCCGATTGTCAATGCATCTGGGTTTACTAGTGTTAATAGAACAAATATAGCAATGAGAGTTTTTATAGCTGAACCTGATACTTCAGGTATTCAACTATCTCATTTCTCTCTTCTGGAAGATTCTTCATGTGTTGACAGGGGTGGAAAATCTCTCTAATGCACCTTGCTATTTGGAATATTAGAGGATCAATAAGTGCTCTAAGCATATGATAGTAAAGCAGTTTATTCAAGAGTATAATCTCTCTTTATTAGTTCTTCTGAAAACTAAACTCACTAAAAACAAGTTACAAGTCTTAGCTATGAAAATTACAAAAGGCTGAAAATGGATTTCTAATGTGCATGAAGCTAGCAATGGAACAATTTGGATTCTCTAGGATAGTAATATCTTCACAATTCAAAAAATTATATCATCAGTGCAATATATTACTTGCTCAATTGAATCCAGGGTTGTAGATTCTCCAGTCTGTGTACTATAGTCTATGCACTAAATCAAATGATTAGAAGGAGAATTCTTTGGCGTGATCTTTTGGCGTTTAAACATAATGTAAATGGTCCCTGGATAATTGGTGGAGATTTCAATACAATTACAAGTTGTGATGAGAAGATAGGATGTATGCCAATTTCTGATGCTGATACAAAGGACTTTCCGAATTTTATCACCACAAGCCAACTATTGCATATAAGATCAATTGGATGTTTTTTTTACTTAGAGTAATAACCAAGAGGCTGAAAATAGAATCTGGTCCAAATTGGATAGATATTTGGTTAATGAGGATTGGATTCATCTTTATACATCTAGTCAAGTGAGTTCCTCATGCCTAAGTGCTCTGACCATTCCCCATCATTGCTAACTATTGAAGATGATGTTATTGAGGGTAAAAGTCCATTCAAATTCTTCAATATGTGGGTTAAGCATCCAGATTTTATCTCAACTGTTAAATCAATATGGAAGCTGAACATTGAAGGCTACAAAATGTACATGTTTCACTAAAAAAACTCAAAAAACTTAAGTATGCACTTAAAGAGTTGAATAAGAAACACTTTATGAATATAAGTGAACAAGTTATTAGAGTGCAAGAAGAATTGACTGATATTCAAAGGCTGCTAAGTATGGATCTTTTCAACCCAATTTTGATAACAAGAGAAAAAGAATGCATCAAAAAATATGACAGGTTGCTAGATTGTGAATCCTCTTTCTATAAGCAAAAGATCAATATTAACTGGAGTTTGGAAGGGGATAAAGGGTCTAAGTTCTTTCATTCTATCATGAAAAAGAAAAGGCATCTCAATAGAATTCTGACTCTATACACTGAAAATAGATCTAGAATCACTGACATATCTGAAATAATTGCAGAATTTATTGATTATTACAAAAAACTTTTAGGAACTGCTGATATGCTAATGTCTGATTGAAACATGTGAAGCAAAATCATAGATTTATGTACTTAGTATATGTAAAGATAGAAACATCATTGGAAACAGTAATTAGCAACAAAAAAACAAAGAGAGAAATTATGATAAAAACACAACAAATAAACATAGTAGTTAATAACAAAAACCGAAATCTTGAAACTTTAGGTAGGATGTGCATGATGGAGAAGATGAGCACATGAAGAACTATCCAACTAAGTACTCACGTGCGTTAGATGGTAATGCACGTGCCCTGCTTCTCCATCCTCCACAAGCCACCTCTCAATGCCAAAAGAAGAAAGTTAATTAAGCAAGCAAAGCTTTCTTTCTTCTCTCTCTATTCTCTCCATGTACATCTTGAATCTGTGGGATTTTGAGTGATGAGGGAATGTTCATATAAGGGTGAGGGTAGGTGGGATTACAACCAACCTCAAAAGAATTGGTGGGCTCCACAAGGAGCTTTTATGACAACTAAGAAGAGCATTTTAGTCTTATAATGGGCAAAATTAATTTTGAAAAGCTACCTACCTAATTAAGATGCTGAATCCAATCCAATAAATAGTTTTTTTAGATAGTTGATAGATTGATTCAGCACCTGGCTGGAGTCTGAGACGTCTTGGACAATGGCACTATGGACGTAGATGGTATGACTCTGAGTCCATACGATACCTGTTCCTACTAGCCCTTCTTAAGCTAGTATTCTTCAAGAATGCAAAACAGGTCAAATTTTGTAAATATTTGATACTGAAGTACACTCTATTTTCTCCCGTGGATCTAGTTAGTTGCCGAACCACGTTAAATTGCTTGTCTTTGCATTTGTTATATTTTTCTGTGCTTTTATTGACATCGTTTACTTCCCTCTTGTCAGGTAGATCGATCGTCTTTATCGATGAAGTAGATCTAGATGGATGGATCCAGGCAAATCTTGTGCATGTTGCGCGTATTTCTCAAAAACCTTCGTGTAGTACAAGGTGATACTTGCATAATTTTGGATTGGTTAGTTACAATTCTTATTGAAGAATCTGTAGGTCACAATAGCTATTAACCTTTTGACCAAAAGGAGAAAAAAAATGGAAGGAAAAAGAAAAAGCATTTAAAAAAAAAAACTACTTCATTGAATTTGAATGTTTTCAGATGCTGTCTGCGTTTGTGAATGCTATTTCATCCACAAATTTATGGCACATAAGCTTGGTCTGAGGATAAGCTACTTTGAAATTATATTTGGAAGATTAATGGAAAGACAAAGATATGATTTTGTTATTTGTATCATTTGTCTGACACGTTCCTTACATTCATTGATGTCATTTTGCATTTAGTAACTATGTATAATATTATTATAGCCATTTTAGTGATGAAAATATTCTCCAATCAATGGTGAACAAGTGTTTCACATCATGCATAATCGAGTCAACTCTTGAAGATAACTAACGGCCCAATTCGGTCAACTCGACACACCGACATCTTATGAGGACGACTTAAAAGACGTTACGTGTCGATCCCTGACTAAGTCGACTGCTTAATCATCCCACTCGATCGACTAATCGACCGACATCTTGTGAAGGCGACCCCAAAGTTGGTACTTCTCGAACACCGGACGAGTAGAAAGACGACGAAATACCTCGAGCCTCGAGCCCCCTCCTGTGCAATGGTGACCAATCATCTAGTAATAAATTCCATTAAATGCATTATGGGCGACATCATTCCTCTGTCCCTAATAGTCTTTATGACACATCAGACCACATCGACATCGCACACTCCCGATCATTTCGCATTAAACACCGAAGTGACCTCTTCTCCACTCGTCGGTCGATACCTATACGGCGATATTTTCCCCCTTTCGTTTCTCTTTGATCTCCAGCACCTCTCACGTGATTGAAAGGGGGGATTTAAAGAAGAGGAAATTAGAGAGAGAGAGAGAGAATTAAAGAGGGTTTTATCTGTGGAACATTAATTATTCTCAAGAGAGAATTGAAAGGGTTTATTCCCTTTAATTATTAACACTGTAGATACAGTGTTCATATTTGAGAAATCTCAGTTTAGGGATTTGCTCTTAAATTGTAATTTCTTGTTTGATTAAAAAGAAATTGACTGTGTGGCTCCCGAGGACGTAGGCAGTTGCCGAACCTCGTTAAAACTTGGTGTACTGTTCTCTATTCTACGTTTCTGTTGCATTAGGGGATTTAGGCGTTAAATTCCCAACAAAAAACATTATGGGCGCCATCATTCCTCTATCCCCAATAGCCTTTAAGACACATTAGACCACATCGGTACCGCACACACCCAATCACTTGATATTAAATGTCGAAGTGACATCTCCTCCAATCGTCAACCGGCACCTGTAAAGTAGATGTTGACTTGGCCGCCAGCCCACAGTCAGTCTAAATTACCATCCTACCCCCTATTACCACTATAAATAGGGGTACTATTGTCAACAATAGGGTAAGATATTTTTTCCACCCACTATGCTTAAAAACTTCTACAGTTCAGTTACTTCTCCACTCAAGCTTATTATTGACTTGATCGTCACAGGAACAACCGGGGAACCCAATCCCGCCCTCTTACGATTTGCTACTTATACAGGGAAGAATATCCTACTCTAGAACCATACATTCGGATGATTAAAGGACCTCCGTCAACTTAATCACTTCTTCACTGACAGTTTGATATCATCCATCAACAAATATGAATGAATTACAAGGTGAAAATGTAAAAACTATCATGTTTTTGTGCTTTATGCTGAAATGTTCTTGTAATTTGGATGACGTTTTTTGTTAAATATTGTAGTTATGCACTATTGTGTTCCTTTCTTTTAGTGCCACGTTGCTGGGAATACTAGATCTAGTTCTCTTATTCTTGTATTTAAACACCTCAATGTAATGACATATATATTTATCCATTTTCTCTCAAAAGTTCAATTCTTATTAGTTTCTTCAAGAATCTGGGGCAACAAGGCCTAACATGATAAAATCTAAACAATAGAGTTCGCATGCACTTATGAGGAATCTGAAATAGGATACTTTGTTTGGGATTCGACTCCTCTTGAGGTAGCTGATGATCATAGGTAGATGAACTCGACGAACTCTCTTCGCATTTACGAACAAACAATAGAAGGGTTGGGGTTTGATCCCATCCAAAGAATATTCAAGTGAAATAGTTAATTTTGTGAATCACAGAGTATAAAATCAAAGAATTAACCTAGGGTTTCAAATAAGGTATTACTAGTGTGTGCCCGGTGCGAAGCACGACCTTCTCTTTTTTTTATCGCTACAGTAATCCTATTTTTAATTACTATAGTATTTTTAAATTCCACAGGAATATTTTTAAAATGCTACAATAATCTTTTTAAAATGCTACAGTATCCATCTCTGCTATAGTAATATATTTTAAAATGCTACAATAATTCTTTAATAATGCTACAGCATCCCGCCTATGCTACGGTAATATTTCTTTAAAAATACTACAGTAAATTACTGTAGCGTGAATTAGCGATTCTTGAGTCCTCCCATTATTATAGAGAAATAGATATAGAGAAGAAAGCCATTATCCAGGTTTATTGCTACAAGATCAGTTGCCATTATCCAGGTTTATTGCTACAAGATCAGTTGTGAAGACAATTATGTTCCATGATCGACAAAGTCTATTACTCACCATATTTTAGACAGAGACAGTTAAAATCGGAATTAAAATCGGAAAGAACTCTCATTGATGTGGAGATTACGTAGGATTGAATTGATTTGGACTAATGTATCATGTGGTGTGTATCATAGGTTCGGATTTAGAAATATTAGCTACTGTGTTTCAATAACTGTAGGACTTGTACTGTAGAGTATACCCAACAGATAAATGACAGAAATTAACGTATAAGAGACACGCATCACAAATAATAGTAATCCCGTCATATTTTTGACAAGCCAAAATGAGGGCGACATCGTCTCCTATACTTCCTACTTCAAGAAACGACCTATATTTGACAAGGAATCATAAGAGCTTGGAAAAAGATAAAGCTGTGGTTCTCTATTCTTACGCTTGGTGAGACTAATGTGCACCACATTTTGATATGAAACCTACTCAGCAGGTTCTTGGGTGATAGTTTTTTTGATGTGATGGAGGCGTTAAATTGATAGCTACTGGTACTATTATTGGGGAAATCGGGGCAACAGTATCATGATGTTAAAAGATTCCTAGTGTAGGATATATTTTGATGCTAGATTTGCTGGAAAATACTAGACGTAGATGTCGATCCAATGAGAAAAGCCCGTGACTGAAATATTCAGTTCAAATCATGATTATAGGGTTAGTTTCACAAAAAACCCGCTGGACTTTAAATTATTTCACTGAACCCCCTATCTGTAATTGGCAAATAATAAGATGTCACTGAGAAAAATATGTAAATATTTGTTGCATTCTCAAAAACTAAATAGGTAAATATTTATTTTAGGATTACATTGTCTTTTATGGTACAAAAGTGGTCCTAGCTAGGCCTGTCCATCCGGGCCGGCCCGGCCCGGCCCGGCTCGGAAATCCGGGCCCGGGCCGGGCAAAACCGGGACCCGGACCCGGACCCGGGTACACCGGTCCCACAATAGATAAGTAAATCCCAACTAGGTTGGCACCTACTCACCTATATCACTATCATTTGCAATTATTTCCAAAATAATTCTTTACAAATTGTAAGCTAAGATATAAAAACTACAATCTATTCTTTATATCTATCTGCTAGTCCCAATTCTTCAAATTTATCTTCAATTCCAGCCATCCGATCGATGCCTTGCGTTCGCTTCTCGTACCTCCACCAATCTTGTAGGCACATCACCGCTTGTACAGTATATGGATCCAAGCATGTCCTGTGATCGTCGATCAAACGACCTGCTGTGCTGAAAGCGAATTTCGAAGTTACCGTCGAAACCTGCACTGTTAGTAAGTCACGAACCATGGTGGAAAGTATAGGATATGAAACTGATCCATATACTTTCCACCATTGCAAAATATCTAAAGCATTTCCTTGACATCTAACTAAAGAAGCAGAAAAATATTCATCTATTTCAGAAACCTCCGATGATGACGATCCAAGTCCAGATCCACCAGTTAGCTCGGCTACCATTGCATACCTATCAAAACTTACACTTTTACCTCGGGCTCGGGATGAGCTCGAAGAAACCGAAGCTGCAGACTGTTGTGCAGCTACACCATGTCTAGCTGCATACTCATCATATAAAGTTTGAAAATAATTTCTAATAAGTAAATGATGAGTAGTAGCATTCAGGGTGGTTCCATCATCTAAGTCTATAACCTGTCCACCATACAATGACTGTAACAAACTTCGAAGGC